GAGAGATCCAGTTTCAAAAACATTGAAAAAAATAAAATTAAAAAGGTCAATGTAATGAATGCACCCACATAAAAAAAAAAAGTACAGCACAAATAGGTACAATAATAGAGGAACTTTAAGTTACAAGGATGGCTCAGAAGCCGGCAGAGAGGGCTTTTGAACTAGACCATGGGAGATAAATAACAACAGCAAAGAGGCACATAATATTGTTTGTCAGGTTCTGTTCCAAGTATTTTTCAAATATTGACTTTTTCAAACCTTTATAATTTTCAAACCTAAATTATTAATCCCTAATTTATCAATGAGAATACAGAGAGATCGAATACCTTGACCAAGGTCACAAAAGCAGAACTAGGATTTTCAAAGTTTGGCTCCAGAGTCTGTGTTCCTAGCTATTGCACTACACAGGCTCCAAGATATGGAAGAAGGGATTTTCAGGCAAAGAGGACAGCAATACAAAGGGACAGAATACGAAAGAATGTTTCATCTTTGGTGAACTGTGAGGGCTTGATGATGGATGGAATACAAGTAACAATAGCAGGCACAGGTACCAGGTTATGAGAGGCTTTGCATGCCATACAAAGAAATGTCATTATCAACTGTTAATGAGAAATTACTAGGATTAAGAGAGAGGTGACCTGCCAGGGAAATAAGTCAGCAGCACAAGCACTTGCTTGGCAAGCACAAGGTCCTGAGTTTGACTCTCAGTACCAAGCAAAAAAAAAAAAAAAAACCAAGGTGACCTGGACAGATTTTTTCTTTGGGATATATTTCTCTGGCATGAGCATGGTTGCGAGGATAGAGAATACCAAGTGCAAGGAAACAAGATTGTAGACTCCAGCACTGCTCTAGAAGAAATAAGATTTAACACTGGAGACACAAGTATGGGCAAGAAGTTTTTAGGAAGAATTGCAAATCCGAAATAAGAGAGAAATAGGTAGAATATGGTTTCCCAGTCACTTGTTAGATGTTGCATTAGTCAGCTGTCTGTCACTGACAAAATACCTGAAAATATCAATTTAAAGGAAGGAAGATTTATTTTGGCTCACAGTTTTGGAGTCCATGATCAGGTGGCCAATGTTGTGGGCCTGTGGTAAAGCGGAACCTGTAGCAGAGGGCATGGCACAGAGAAGCCGCTGATCACATAGAAGGGAAAGGGAAAGAGGGAGAGCACAGATGAAAGAGAAGGGAGAAAGGAGAAGGGAGAAGGGACTGAAAAGAGACATGAAGAGGAAGAAGAAGAAGGAGCTGCTGGGGACAAGATATACCCTTCAAAAGCATACCATCAACTGCCTACCTCCTGCAACTACACCCTGCCTTCTAAACAGCCAATCCATCGCCACTCTAAGCTCAGTGCTACACTGTTAACGAGCCTTCAACATATGAGTCTTTGCAGAGCACTTCATATTTATACTATCATAAATAAACACATTTAGAAGAAAAGCTAATACATTTAAGGGTGATGCTATTCCATATGCCTATTTTTTATTCTGATCCCAACACATCATTTACTTTCTTTTGTTGGTGCTGGGGATCAAACCTAAAGCCTTGTGCACAGAAGGCAAGAGCACTACCACTGAGCCACATCCATGCTCCCCCGACCTTTTTTCTTTTGAGAAGACAGGGTCTCACTAATTAGTTAGACTGGCCTTGAATTCACTATGTAGCCCAGGCCAGCTTCGAACTTATGGTGATTATCCTGCCTCAGCCTCTGGGTGCTGGAATCACAGGCATGCACCACTATAGCCATTTACTTTCATCATTATCAGTAGTGATTCTTACCTGGGGCACAAGCAAGGACACAGAAGGGACAGAGGACACATTAAAATATGGGCAAAGCTGGCCATGGTGGCACATGCCTGTAGTCCTAACACTCAGGGACTGAGGCAGGAGGACAGTGAATTCAAAAGCAGCCTGGGCTACCAAGCAAGTTTTGGGCCAGCACAGTCTATATATGTTTGTTTGTTTTATTTTGGAAACAGTGGTCAAATTCAGGACCTTGCATGTGTCATACAGGCATTAAGCTGCTGAGCTATCTCCCCAGCCTTAGCCTGATCTACATTACAAGACCTTATCTTGAAATAAAGAGTAATAAGGCAAGTACATATATATAGCTTGATTAACATTTTCTGCAAGAAAATCTGACAATGGGCTGGAGAGATGGCTCAGTGGTCTAAAGCACCTACTTGAAACAAGCTTGGCAAAGCACAGGGACCGCGGTTCAATCCCCCAGCACCACATGCCAACCAGCCCCGCCCCCTAGTGGGCTGAGCTGGCCACACACAAACACAATAAATAAATGTAATAAATAAATAAATTAAAAAAAAAGAAAATCTGACATTACAATCTCTTATTAAGAATCACTACTGGGCCGGGGAGATGGCTCAGTAGGATAAGCGCTTGACTGGCAAACGCAAGGATCTGAGTTCAATCCCCGGTTCCGGAAAAAAAAAAAAAGAATCACTGCTGTGTTAGGCCAACAAAATAGCTCAGCAAATTAAAGCACCTAGGGGCCAGGGGTTTTGATCATCAGGCCTGCCATGCAGGCCCCACCCCCAGGGCATGCTGAGATGGCAATTGAGACTGGGCATGGTGGCATGCGCCTGTACTCCCAGCTCTTGGCTGTAAACAGGTAGATCACTACGAGTCTGATCTACTAGTGAGACCCTGAATACCCTGTAGACCCTTCCCTAAAATACAAAAAAAAAAAAAAAATCACTGCTGTGCAGAATTATATATGAATATCCTAACAAAGCAGAAACAGTTAAATTCAGATGTATTCCATTAAGTTACAGAACTGACTTGAAAGAATAGGAAGAGACTAAGAATCATCTAGATCACCTTCCCAATCAAGATGTTCTTGGTCAAAGAGGAAAGTGATCGATGACAGAGTGTGCCTAAGGAGAGTTACATGGAGAGAAAACACTCTCTCAGGCTTTCACAGAGAGCACATTGGCCAAGCAATGGCCGTGACTCATCCACATGGCTGCACTGACAAAGGTTCTACAATCTGAGGTACAGGATCTCAGGATAAATCCTGAGGGGATTTCACTGACCTTCTCAGACCAAAAAGCTACAACTCTTATTGCACAGGTCCTGCTTTACCTTGGTCTTATCCATCCAGTAGAAAAGTATGAAGATGAAATATAGGAAGTAAAGCCATGCTGTTATGTTGAGCTGTGGGGGACTCAGGTCAATAATTTCTGACATTGCCAGTTAAACAGAAGACCCAATGCTATTATGGTCTACTGGACTCTTTTAGAATATTTTGCTGAGTTTACACACCTATAATATTCAACAACGGAACTTAGAAAAAATAGGGTATACAGATGAATGTCCATTTTGTATCTGTGTATTCAAAGTGGTTAGGATAGATATATAGTTGCATTCTCTTAATGAATAGAATGATTTGTTCTAATCGTGTTTGTAAATAGGATCTCAAGTCCGCATCTTGTACAGCAATTAACCACTAAGAAGAATATATGCATGGGCTGGTGAGATGGCTCAGTGGTCTAAAGCACCTACCTAGAACAAGCTAAGCTAAAGCACAGAGACCACGGTTCAATCCCCCAGCACCACATGCCAGCCAGCCCTGCCCCCTGTTGGGCTGAGCTGGCCACACACACACACACACACACACACAAATAAATAAAATTAAAAAAAAAAAAGAATATATGCAGTGTGTTATTTGTTGAAATTGTACTTCCGATTTGATTTGAAACTGTCTCATTGCTGTTTATCAATAAAATTTTGGAAAAAAAAAGATGTTCTTGGAAATAAGTGAGGGTATTTTTAAACATCGCAATGACATGTATTTGTATTTAGCATCTGAGAGTCAGAGTATGCCAAGAGTCAGGGATGTTCCTATACCTCACAGAGTAGCTTCAAATAAAGAAGATTTTGTTCCCCAAGCGACCTCTGTGTCCCTTGAGTAAACACTGACACAGTTCAGTCTGAGGAATCTGAGGTCCCAAAGAAAGGCATGACTTGCAAACATCACCTAGCTGCATAGTAGGGCCTCACACCCAGCACTTCTGGGAATATCCTCTTTACTGCTAATACTGTACGGGTCTGGTAAGTCTGTGTGACTCCCAGGAGATGAGGAATCCAACTGGAATTCAGGTCAAGCACTCAGAATGCTGCTTTGCTGTCAGTCCTTTACACACTGTCTCTAACCCACATGTCCTCTCATCTTCAGAGATCTGGACAGAAGGTACCAATTCAGTAGTCATTGGCTTAGGAAGCCTTAAGACAGATAAGAGTACCTGATCAAATACACAAACTATAGCAGAGTTCTGGGGCGCACAAACATCAGGCATCTAGATGGAAAAAGCAGAAGCAAAAAGGAAACCGAAGAGAAAAAAATCAGAAATACAGGAGAAGCTCAAGGTAACAAAAGGGAAACAAGTGGTTTTGCTTTCAGTGAAATAATACTTGCTAGGTACCTATGTTTACTGCTTCTTTAGTATACTCTTTGCCAACAAATCAAACAGTTTCAGGTAGCAGAGCTCATTAAAAGTCTCTTTTCTACAGTCAACTGCAGCTGTGGAGGTCACTTGATACAGTTCTAGCCAGTATGATATTAAAGTAGGTACAGTAATCGTCACTTACTCCTTACTAGGTTTGTATATGGCTTATAGAATCACATAATATTCAGTACTTACACATTCCTAACAAAGAATTTTTACAAAGGTGGGGGAGGGCTTATTCTACACGCTGACAAACACATGGTAAAGACAGAGTAATTAAATGGTGTAGCAGAGGAGGGAGAATTGATAAACATCAGTCTGTAATGGTAACGCCTTGCCTGTGACTCTTGAGGCTCAAGCCCACCTCCTCACACTCACACCAAGGAAGTAATGGTCAGATAACCTTTCAGGGAGGGAAGGCAGCAAGAACTAATCTGGGTCTCTCAGGACTGAACTCTTTGGTACTGTCTTTCATACTGGTTCTTATCACAGTCCTTTGCACCCTGTCTCTAGTCCCAGATCCCTACTCACCTTCAGAGATTCAATCGTGGCCTGTTTGTAAATCTTTCCTCCAGGATCTTTCTTCTGTGAACTATTCTGGATTCTAGGCGTCCGAATGACGAATTTATCCATCGTTAGGGGACTCCAACTACCTTCGCGTGCTTCAGGGTATTCTGCACAAGAAGAGGACAGATTCTAAAACTTCACCGAGGCTACCAAAATATGTTCTCTCCAAAGTGACACAGATGGGTCTTCAGAAAGCATTCCTGAATTATGGGGGTCTCGTGGATGATATTACAGGATCTAAGATCCCCTCTTAGATGAGAGGGGGAGTGCTACCCAAGAGCACAGTGATAAGTAACTTCCCGGTATGAACGCGGCGGAGGCGTTCCAATACCTGGCCAAGCGTAGAATCTGATGAAATGGAAACCCTCTTTCAACCTCGGCTGGGTTGTGGCCGGTTTCAACTTTTAGCGGGCTCAATAATGATGCCCTCTTTACCCCTCCACAGAGCCAACCCAAGAGCTGACCAGCAACCACCACCTTCAGACCCCAAGCAGCCATCTCTAGGCTCCCCTGCTCCCCTACCCTAACTATGACAGCCAGGGTCTGGACCCCCGAAGGAAGACAAACACCGTTCTCCTCTGCGCCCCGCACTTAGAGGTGGGAAACGAGCACCTAACCACAGCCTGAAGCGCGACCCACCAGGAAAACCTCCGCTGACAGCAGCTGGATCCCTTCAGACAGTACTCTGAGGGTCCCCAGCCTAGCCGTCGGCGTCAGAACTACACGCGCGCGTCCTCGGAGGCCTACCCGCGCGCTGGTAGCTTCTCCGGTGGGTCACAGTGCTTCTGCGCCCCGGGAACCACACTCCCCAGCGTGCACCGCGCTCGGCTCGGCGGGAACCACACTCCCCAGCGTGCACCGCGCTCGGCGCAGCGGGAACCACATTCCCCAGCGTGCCCCGCGCGGTCAGGGTCGGGCACCGCCCTGCCTGTGACTCTTGAGGCTCGAGCCCGCCTCCTCACACCAACCCCGAAGCAGTTCCTAGCCCCAGAGGCGGGGCCGATTAAGGCGGAGGCGGAAGCGGGCAACCGCGGGGCTGAGAAAGGGGCTGACTCCGGAAGGAGGCGAAACCTGAAAAGAAAACAGCAACCAGCTGAGCCGCGGTGACAGAGGGAGCAAGATGGCGGCTCCAAAGGGGAACCTCTGGGTCCAGACCCAGCTGGGGCTCCCACTGCTGCTGCTTCTGACCATGGCCTTGGCCGGAGGCTCGGGGACCGCCTCGGCCGAAGCGTTCGACTCGGTCTTGGGCGATACGGCGTCCTGCCACCGGGCCTGTCAACTGACGTACCCCTTGCACACCTACCCCAAGGTAGGGCCTTTAGACCCAGGCTTCCACCCGTCCCTCGCCCCCTCGCCCCTCCACCACCACAAGCGTCGGCGCCAGAACCTACCTGAATCCCTCGTGTGGCCTCCGTTTTCCTCCCTAACCTCCTGCCTGCACCCTTGCCTACTGTAACTGCTGGAAGTGTGTTGCGCTACACCTCCCGAGGCTGGGGGACACAATGGAAATCCGCTGTCCCATATCCGGGAGTTCGTGGGCAGGGGGAAGTCGAGCGAGCGCTTAGAGGGAGGAGCGGGAGGGAGGCGTAGATGGGCGAGTCCACGAGAGTTCGGGCCCTGCGCGCCTCCTTGGGTCACGAGCGCATCTGCTCGGGGGCTCAAGCGCGTAGACAGGTCCACTATAAGTGTGAAATCAGTCCCCGAAGTTGTGGGATGTCCTAGAAGGGCTTCCGTCTGTGTTGAGTTACGCTGCTAGTATGGACTGGGAATGTCTTAGAGAAGAAACAGGTTTGTGCATTCAAACGGCAGATTACTTAGTGCAGAAAATAAGGACTCGTGGGCTGGGTAAAGAAACGCGACTGCCCTCAGGCGGGCTTTTGAACTTTAGGGAGAGGAGCGACCTTATTCTCATCACTCCCTGTCACCCCATCCTCAACTGGTAGCTACTGCCTTTCCTTTAGCAGCGTCTTCTCAAGTTTTTTTTCAGCCTCTTAAGAACTCTTTGCTCAACATTCTAAATTGCTTAGTGACTCCCCACGCCTTCATATACTATAATTTTGGTTTATGCCCCCTCCCTTCACCTTGCTCTAGAAGTGCTTTTGCTGATGTTGCTGGCCTCTTTTCTCCTTGTTTTTCGTTCTGCATGTTATTTGCTTAACTACTGTAGCTAGCCATGTTTGCCCTCTTCAACTACAAAGTGGCCAAAAAGACCAGTGAGATTTAGGGTGTTCCATTGGTGGCTATTTTCAGGTCTTTGAAATCTAAACACTATCACTTTCCCTATTTGATTTACTTACATTGCACGGCACGGCTGTTGTCAGTTTTTTTGTTTTGTTTTTAAGCTTTAAAGCCGGGTGTGGTGGTGCACACCTATAATTCCAAACACTAGAGGAGAATAAAGTAGGATTGCTGCTATTTCAAGACTAGCCTGGGCAACACCGTGAGTTCAAGGCCAACCTGAACTACATAGCAAGATCCTGACTCAAAAAAAGCACAAAAGACAGTATTATCCTAAATAGTCAAGAAAAGAATGAGGAATTCTGATTTAAGGCTTACATCAAAGAATACTGTCCAACTACATTATTTTATTTCATTCTTACAAATTTTGAATCACAATGGGGCACACCTACAATCCCAGAACTCTTAAAGACCAAAGCAAGATCACAAATTGGATCCCAGCCTGGGCAATTTAGTGAAACCCTGCCTCAAAATGTTGAAAAATGAAAAAAAATAAAAATTTTTAAAAGTGAGGCATGATGGTACATGCCTGTACTCCCCCTATTTGGGAGAGCAAGGCAGGAAGATCTCTGCTCATTCATGGTCATAAGGAGTTCAAGACCAACCTAGATTACATAAAGACTTTGTTTCAAAAACAAATTTTTTTTAAGAGTTGAGGCTATAGCTTGGTGCAGAGGCCTTGGATTCAGTCCCCAGTAATACACACACACACACACACACACACACACACACACACACTTGCATGTAGGCTTCTATGAGAAAACTTGATTAACATTGATTTGGCTGGGATCTAGGCTGAGACTCATTTTGTATTGCTTTAGCATTTGTTTCATGTGTTTGAGCTTTCTCTAGCAAATTTGTAGTATGAACTAGAATGCAGGGAAAATAAATTGAAAGAGTATTCGTATTGAGAAACTTCAGGTATTTTTATAATCACTATTTTCTAACAGTTGCTGTGTTAGTGATGTCATTTTTAGTAATTAAAGCTACTCAGGACCTCAAAATCATCTGGCTTCCTCACAGTGTCTTGGACTTAAAAATTTATTGACTGTACTAATTTGTTAGCTAGTATGATGGAGAAGTTATCATTGTTATATTCTCTAATTCTTACAGTAATACTGCAAAGTAGGGTTTAATAGTTAAGAAAATTGAAGTTTGGAAAGGGTAAGTGACTTGCCTAAGGTCACATAAGCGAATAGTGAAATAGAAGTTTGAATCATTAACTGGCTACTCGAAGCTGCCATCTATTAATCAAGTTAGGTTATACATATTTAAATTATTTCTCTGATTTATATAGGTGGTCTGCTGAATTACTGTACCATGCAATTCAGGAAAAAGCAATGTGTTATACAAAGTTAGATGGATTTACAAGCTCACATGGCCTATCTTGGTATGATACTTGAAACTGACAGAAATTTCATTTTAATGACTTTTTCAGAAGTAATCATTTGTTGCAAGCAAGTAGGATACGTGCTTGTAAGTAGTTTTTTTATTTATTTTTTTTCTTTTCAAAGTTTTATTGATAAACATATAGCAATGAGACAGTTTCAAATCAAATCGAAAGTACAGTTTCAACAAATAATACACTGCATATATTCTTCTTAGTGGTTAATTGCTGTACAAGATGCAGACTTGTGATCCTACTTACAAACACCATTAGAAAAAATCATTCTATTCATTAAGAGAATGCAACTATATATCTATCCCAACCACTTTGAATACACAGATACAAAATGGACATTCATAGTTATACCCCAATTTTTTTTTAAGTTCCGTTGTTGAATATTATAGGTGTGTAAACTCAGCAAAATATTCTAAAAGAGTACAGAAGCCCATAATAGCATTGGGTCTTCTGTTTAATTGGCAATGTCAGAAATTATTGACGTGAGTCCCCCACAGCTCAACATAACAACATGGCTTTACTTCCTATATTTCATCTTCATACTTTTCTACTGGATGGTTAAGACCAAGGTAAAGCAGAACCTATGCAACAAGAGTTGTAGCTTTTTGGTTTGAGAAGGTCAGTGAAATGCCCTCAGGATTTATCCTGAGATCCTGTACCTCAGATTGTAGAACCTTTGTCAGTGCAGCCATGTGGATGAGTCACGGCCATTGCTTGGCCAATGTGCTCTCTGTGAAAGCCTGAGAGAGTATCTTCTCCTCATGTGACTCTCCTTAGGCACACTCCATGTCATCGATCAATTTCCTCTTTGGCCCCATAACCTTCTTGATCAGAAAATCTGGGACACTACCGAGGTACTTGACGTTACAGTACAAGTTCTCATATGTCCTGAGTCTTAATTGACCTTAGAAGGGTAGGGCCAAAATATTGGCTTTCCTTGTAGCCCTCCTTTTTCTCTAATTTTGGTCTGCAAACTTAGGTTGTTAACCATCCAGAAGAAAAGCTTATTGTTATTATCAAACGATTTACGTTATCAAGCTTAACCTCACTATTTCACTACATTTCAAACATGTAAGTAGTTATTTTTAAATTATTATAATTTTTCCTTTGTCCTTAAAAGCACAATTACATAATTTTCCTGGTTTCAAATAGGAGACACATAAATCCCATTAATAACAAAACCAATTAACAGGGTATGGTCTTTGTAACCCATGCAAACCTGGGTTCCATTCCCCAGCTTCATTATTACTGTGTGTCCTGGCTGATCACTTAAACTCAGGAACTCTTGTAAGTTCATTTTGTCCTGTTTTTTTTAAAAAAAAAAAAAAAAAAACACCTCACCCTCTGCAGTGCTAGTGTGATGATTAAAGATATATACGATATGTATCATACTTTTAGCACAGTACCTAACACAGCTACAAATATTTCATGTTCCAAAATTTGGTGTGTTAGTACATAAGTTCTGAATAAGGAGAGAATGGTTAGCTTCACTTAGCTCAGGATAAGAAAATGTGACAAGGTGGACACACTGGTCCAGAGCTTTAATCCCAGCTACTCAGTAGGCTGAGGCAGGAGGATCAAGAGTTCCAAGCTAGCTTGGGTGATATAGTAAGATCCTGTCACAAAAAAAAAAAAAAAAGAAAGAAAGAAAGAGAATGCATATAAAGCTATTGATAGTATCATCAAGGGACCTTTTAATTACTTAGCTAATGTCCAGTGTGATGGGAAGCAACCATTTCCTGTGTCCTGTATCAGAGGAGATATACTTTATGTGAGCTTGCCAGTCATCTAAGATACATGGTGCATGAAATATTTATAATATGTGGAATAATAATTTGTTTTTGATTTTGTTTTGTATTTTAGGGAAGGGTCTACAGGGTGTTCAGGGTCTCACTATTAGATCGGACTTGTAGTGAGGATCTGTAGTAATCTGCCTGTTTACAGCCTCCCAAGAGCTGGGATTACATGCCCATGCCACCACCACCACACCTAGTCTCAATTGCTGTCTCAGTACACCCCCGGGGATCAAACCTTCAGCCCCTGCGCCTGCTTACAGGCACTTTAATCCACTGAACTATTTGGCCGGCCCTGGAATAATAATAATATTGTATAGAACATGAAATACTAATTATTCTTTTTTTGGGGGGTGGGTGTTTAGTGCAGGGTCTACAGGGTCTCGCTACACAGATCGGACTTTTAGTGATTCTCCTGTTTTCAGCTTCCCAAGTGCTGGGAATACAGGCGCATGCCACCATGCCCAGCCTGAAATACTGATTCTTAATAGCTACCAATTGAGTGCCTACTCTGGGTGTTAGATATGTTAAATGTTAACATGGTGCCTGGCACATTGTGGATGTTCATTAATTATTAATGTTAAGTTTATTAGTATAACAATAATGCTATTAGGGGTATAAATGTGTAATCCTAATATTTAAAATTAATACAAGAGTATTGTCTTTATTTTACAATTGAGACTTAAAGAGATTAACTTGTGCAAGGTGGTACAGGGTGAAGTAGTCAAGCTCAAATTCCAGCCAGGCTAATTTCTGTACCTAGGCTCTTTGCATAGTGCTATGTGGTCTCCTGAAGTTGGTACTGGGTGGCTTTTTGGGTTAGTTTAACAAAGGAAAACATATTTAAAAGTGAGATGTCATGTGGCTCCTCCATATACACTAGTTTGTATGTATTTTACCAAAGAAAGAAATTGTTGCAAGCCTTGTTATTGATCTTATTAAGCAACTAATATTTTCCAGTAATGAAGAACTGTATGTCCCTTTTTTTTTTTTTTTTTTTTTCTGCGGAACTAAGGATTGAACTCAGGCCCTGGCACTTGCCAGGCAAACACTTATTCTACTGAGCCATCTCCCTGGCCCTGTCCCTCTAATTTTAAGCTCTTAAATAAGAGTAACAATATTT